TTAATGGTTTTGCATAATGTTTTAAATATTTTTTTCATAACATTTTTAATAACCACAAAGCCTTGCCATAAAGTAATTCCCCCACATCATTCCCTATCTACAATGGAGAAACTTAACAGACAGGCCAGAAAAGACTGAGGGGAATTTGGAAAGTCTCTTTTGACCTTTCATGAACTTTCCTTTGGTTCTGAGTACCTGCTGCAGGTGTTGTCTGAGCTGTGGGATGAGGGGACACTGGTGAAGTGTGACCCTGCTTTTAAATTAAAGCCCTGTCCAGGATGAGCCCTGTCCAGTCAGTCACGGACTGATGCTTCACTGGGGTTGGGAGGATTTTTGGAGATTGTCTGATCCAGCCACAGCTCAGGGCTGGGATCACTCAGCACCTTGTCCAGGCATGGTTTGGATTTCCTGGAGGGAAAAATCCTTGAAAGAACCAGGAATGAGGAAACAGGAATTTTGTGTTCGAGGACCGGTGGGAGGCAGCGCTCAGGGCTGTGCTCTGGGTGCCCAGCTGGGCATCCCTCCCGGGTTAGACTGATGATCCTGGAGGTGTTTTCCAGCCTCGGTGGCCCTGCAGTGACTGAAATGCCCTTGTGGCCCTGTGCTCTGTTGCAGCCATCGATGTCACCTACCTGCTGGAGGAGGGCTCGGGCCGGAAGCTGCGGCGCCGCACTCTGAGCATCCCCGAGAGCAGCTTCAGGAAGTGAGCCAGGAGGGGCAGCCAGCTCTGGGCTCTGTCTGGGCTGGGCACAGCAGCAAACTGACAAAATACAAACAGTAGCACCTGGGGGGCCGGGCTGGCACGGTGCCCACCCTGCTCTGCAGTGCTCTTGGTGTGTGTGTTGGTGGGCGTGCCTTGTATTGATGTTAGGTACTGAGGAAACCTCGTGGTTATTGTCCAGGATGGTCAAATTTAATTTATTTTTGCTTGATATTCCCACTCAGAGGAGAAAAAACACAAAAAAAAATTAAAAAAATAATAATAATAGGGAGGGCAGAGGAAAAGGACTGAGTTACTCTGAGGAGGATGTTCCCCACGGTCACTGCTAACCTGGGATTGTACCAGCCACCCTCAGCACCGCCAGGGAAGGGAATCCAGAATCCAGAGGGGAGAGGAAAGGCCCAGTGGCTTTAAAGGAAAAGCTGCCCTGAAGCTGTGGCCTCTGATTTGCACAAGTTCAAGAAGAGAGGAGTCCCCAGCCGAGCACGAGGTTCGCCGTGGGACAGCTGAGCAGTGTCCCTGTGCTCTGTGCCAAGGAGAGCTTCCAGAGGCCCTTGGAGCAGGGCAGGAGCGCTGGGAGAGGCACTTGCTGTGTGGGGGGAGGGTGTGGGGTGTGAGTTTTTTCACTTTTTTTCTGCAGAGAAATTTTATAAAAGCGCAGTCAGCTCCTGACGCCACCATTGCTGTTGGTTTTTTTGATAAGCTGTGGTTCTCGTGTGTCTCGTGTGTTGTGCAAATAAAAAATCCGTTAAAACAAAAAAAGAAAAAAAAAACAAAACAAAACAAAAAACCAAAAAAAAACCCAGCCCAAGCCCAAGGACCCTTTCACCCCGTGCCCGTCAGGCAGTATCAGCGAGTGTTTGTCGTGAGCTGTAGAATTTATCACCTGCTGACACTCCCCTCGTGTGCTGGTGACAGCCGGGGCCGGGCAGCGGCTGCGCTGGCCCCACCCCGTGGCGATTGTCGCGATTGTCGCGATTGTCCCGCCGGCCCCGGGGCGGGGCTGCCCCGGACGGTGGCTTTGCTTTCCTGTCTCAGACGTACACATGCATATCCAGTCCTGTTTTAGGTGTTCTTCTAAGAAATCCGGTTTTTAATGTGCCAAGTTGTATATATCTGCTGCGTGGATGTAAAGCAATACCGTAGTTACATGTTCCTTTTTATGGACCAAGCTCGTCCTAATGTACATTCTTGTTATTATTATAATTATTTTACTCTTAGTGGAACATGACTCATTCCATTAACTTTTATGTGTTGATTTAAAAAGAGAAAACAAAACAAAAAAAAACCACAAAAAAAAAGAAAGGAAAAAAACCCTTTGAGAAAAAAAATATTTTATTAAAAAAAAAAGAAATAAGAAAATAGTTTGGAATATTTTCTTACTGTAGAGAAGCACTGTACAGTACCAGGATCCCTGAGTATAAAATACTCGTGCGTGTAGTAGGAATATCGCATGTCCAAACCCTCGAGTTGTCTCATTTAGTTTCAAACAGAAATCATTGTCTCAAATGGTGTTAAACACTAAAAAGTTTTTAAAAAAAAAAAAATAAAGTGCGTACAGAAGCGAGACACTAGCTCTGTCATTTTATCTTTCTTTTGTTGAAAGACTAAACAAAATGTTTTTTAGACAATCAAATGTTAGGTAAGTGCAAAGAATTGTTTTTTCTTACTGGTGTAGAAATTAATGACTTTTTTTATTTTTTGGTTATTTTATAATACTGAGCAGACCCGTGTGTCCCCAGGATCGCCGCCGGAGCCAGGAAGCACTACGTTACTGCAAATAGAGCTGAACCTTAGTCTGCATGGGTGTAGGCTGTGTGATTGCTGAAAATAAATGCTGCTAATATATTTCCTTTTTACAAAGCATATCTAAATAGATCATTGTTTTGATGTTAATCTTTGTAAATTATGTATTACCAATTTTAACATTGGATGTAATTGCATAAAAAGCCTGCATCTCAATCCTGAGAGTCTAGTATTAAATGGAAAATCTTTTCCTAAGGCTGGCTCGGGGGGTTTTCTTTGCTGAGCTGGGGGGGTGCAGAGGGCAGGAGGAGGGGTCTGGGCAGGCTGGATCCAGAGCTCCAGAGATCCCTGGGATCCCTGGGATCCCTGGGATCCATGGATGCACGGGGTGAGCTCAGCAAGGGCTGGCTGCTGCCCCCGGGTCACAGCAAGCCCCAGAACGCTCCAGGCTGGGGAAAGGGGCTGGAAAGGCCCTGGGGTGGGGGGACAGCAGCTGGGCACGGGCCCAGCTGTGCCCAGGTGTGCCCAGGTGTGCCCAGCTGGGCACGAGGCCATTGGCACCTGGCCTGGACCAGTCCCAGCGTGGCCACCGGGCCAGGGCAGTGACCTCAGCCCCTTCTGCTGCCTCTGCTGAGGGTCCTCAAACCCTGGGGACGGTTTTGGGCCATTTGTGACCAAGAGCTGGAGGGGCTGGAGCGTGTCCAGGGCTGGGAAAGGGGCTGGAGATTTCCTGAAGGAGCTGGAGAATTCCTGAAGGTGCTGGGAAGGGGCTCAGCCTGGAGCAAAGGAGGCTCAGGGGGGACCTTGTGGCTCTGCACAGCTCCTGCCAGGAGGGGACAGGCTCTGTCCCAGGAACAGGGACAGGAGCAGAGGGAACGGCCTCAGGCTGGGCCAGGGCAGCTCAGGGTGGGTTCAGCAGGGATTTCCCCATGGAAAGGCTGCTCAGGGATTGGAACTGCCCAGGCGGGGTTGGGAGTGCCCATCCCTGGAGGTGGCACCTGGAGGTGGCACTCAGAGCTCTGGGGACAAGGTGGACTCCCTAGTGTCCTGGCTCCCAAACACACCCAGCTGGGATGGGAACCTGGGAACATCCCAATGGGATGGGAACACAGGAACATCCACCTGGGATGGGAACCTGGGAAAACCCACCCAGGATGGGAACACAGGAACATCCACCTGGGATGGGAACACAGGAACAGCCACTGGGATGGGAACACAGGAACAGCCACTGGGGTGGGAACACAGGAACAGCCACTGGGGTGGGAACACAGGAACACTCCCTAGGATGGGAACCTGGGAACATCCCACTGGCATGGAAACCAACCCAGGATCACCCACCTGGGATGGGAACCTGGGAACACCCCCGGGAAGGGAAGCCCAGCTGCTGGAGGTCTCAGAGGGCTCAGTGTGACCCAGGGCTCTGCAGGAGGGGCAGGGGCAGCACGGTCACTGTGAGGTCAGAGGGGCTGTGGCCACGGCTGCCTGTCAGGCAAACTGGGGCAGGAGCCATGAAATCCAGATTTGGTGCCTATTCCCAGGTATAACCCAGTGCCTGGAGCCCCCTGTCCTGCACAGGCTGGGGACTGTCACCCCCAGGGCACCCTCACACCTGCACAGGTGAGAGCAGAGATCTCTTCTCACCTGCAGGCTCCCTCAGGAATGGAACAGCTCCTCCTCCACACCCCTTCTGTGGAGCCTGATTTTTCTTTTCCCTTTCCCAGTCTGGCTCTCTGTGATCATGGAAATGCCACGCTTGACCCCTACGCTCCCTTTAAACCCAAGGCTTGTTTATTTAAAAAGAACATAAATAATGGAAATACCACCTGGCTTCCTCCCCTCCTGGCATGACCTCGTTGGAAAAGCCCAGAAGCAGCTGTGGAAATCAATCAAGGCTCCTTAAGGCCAGCCAAGGAACGCTGCAATTAGGATATCACGTCACTGGGCTGAGAATAAAAACCCAGAGAGGGAAGTGGGAATGAGAGCAGAGGAAAGGAGAGCAGCTTCACCCGGGGCTGACAGCGGCTTTTGGCCACCGAAAGGGAAATGAGGAGGTGAAAACGTGGCCAGGGGAGGGAGCAGAGAGCCAAACCTGCCCCTGGGGCCAGGCTGCTGCTGCTGCTGCGCTCCCGGCGTGGCCACTCCTTTCTGTCACTGGGGAGCCCAGCAGGAAATGCAGATTCTGGGATGAAATCACAAGCAGGGACAAAAACATGAAGGACCTGGAGATGTTCAGCCCCTCCTGCCATCCTCTGGGCTATGAAAGATTGGTTGAAGTTCTATAAATAACTAAAGCAGTGACCTGGGCTGGTCCCAGTTGCTGTGCAGCTCCCACGGCTGGTCCCCAGCAAGCTTCTCCAGGGATATTCCTGGCTCTGGGAAGCTGCAGCCGCCTCTCCCACGCTGTGGAGGAGCCTGGGCATCTTCTGGGCACCTTCTGCTGGGGTGCGAGGCTCCCTGGCAGCATTTGGGATGCTGAGAGGCAGCACAGCCCCAGCACCTCCTCATCCCACCCCCACGGGCAGTGCCACACGCGGAGAGTCACAACCTTTATTTATTTCCAGCTTTTCCCTCCCGTTCCCGTGGTTACAGATATTCACAGAGTGCTGGGACAGCCCCGGGCAGGGCAGGGCACGGGGAGGTGGCAGCGGTGGCAGGACACGATGGCACGGAGGCGACACGGGGCAGGGCAGGAGCCGTCCCCGCCCTGGCACGGGCTGGGCAGCAGCTGAGGAGCCCCGAGCTGCCGGGGGGGCCGGGGGACACGGTGGCAGACGGTGACGCCATGCAGCAGTGACAGGCACGGGGCAGGGTCCCCTGGGAGCTGCTGCCAGCCCCGGAGGTGGCGAAGCTCTGGAGGTGGCAGGAGACATCCCCTCCCCGAGCTGGCACCCGCTCCGGAGAGCTCAGCCGCTTCCTCGGGGCCCTTCCTCCTCCTCCTCCTCACAAAATCAGGGATGTGTAACCAACGGGAACGAGGCCGGTGCTGTTTCCATGGCAGCAGCGGATCCAGTCCTCATCCACGGTGCAGAGCAGCTCCAGGACGTCCCCTTTGTGGAAGCTCAGGTGCCCTTCGGCCGTGCCCGTGTGGTCACACAGTGCCCGGACTGCCCTGCACCACAAATGTCACCCCTGGGCCACAAATGCCACCCCCTGGGCCACAAATGTCACCCCCTGAACCACAAATGTCACCCCTGTGCCACAAATGTCCCCCCTGCACCACAAATGTCACCCCTGGGCCACAAATGCCACCCCCTGAACCACAAATGTCACCCCCCAGGCCACAAATGCCACCCCTGAACCACAAATCTCATCTCCCCTGTGCCACAAATGTCACCCCTGGGCCACAAATGTCACCCCCCAGGCCACAAATGTCACCCCCTGAACCACAAATGTCACCCCTGAACCACAAATCTCATCTCCCCCGTGCCACAAATGTCACCCCTGTGCCACAAATGCCACCACAGACTCGCCTCCCCGGGGACCCTGAGCATCCTCAGAGGCTCCCCCAGCACCCGGGGGTGGGAACTGGGGGGAATCAGGGATTTCCTCAGGCAGAGGAGGGGTCTGTACCAGGAGCCACCTGGCACAGCTGTCCTGCCCTGCCACAAATGTCACCCCTGCACCACAAATGTCACCCCTGGGCCACAAATGTCACCCCCCAGGCCACAAATGTCACCCCCTGAACCACAAATGTCACCCCTGTGCCACGTGCAGCCATGGCTTTCCGCCTCCCCGGGGACCCTGAGCATCCTCAGAGGCTCCCCCAGCACCCGGGGGTGGGAACTGGGGGGAATCAGGGATTTCCTCAGGCAGAGGAGGGGTCTGTACCAGGAGCCACCTGGCACAGCTGTCCTGCCCAGGAGGGGGAGCAGAGCAGGAGGTGTGGGGACATCAGAGATGGGGCAGAGGGTGTGGGGACATCAGAGATGGCACAGGAGGTGTGGGGACATGGGGGTCAGCGAGGATGGGGAAAGGGAAGCAGCCCAACACCTTTTGGGATGGCCACGTGCCCCCCCTGCCCACTTGGACAGAGCTATTCCAACAGCTGCCATGAACCCAGCAAGCACACAAGAAAATGCCAAAAACTGTCCCCAGAACACCTGGGGAAAACATCTGCCCCAGGTGGGCAGAGGCTCAGGCTCCCCCAAAGCCCAGCAGGGGAAGGGCATCCCCGGGGGTGCAGCCATGGCTTTCCCTTCAGAGCAGTGTGCGACCCCCAGCCGTGCCTGGGAGCTTTCCCCCAGGCAGAAGAGCCCCCCCAGCCCTGCCCAGTGTCCCCCCAGCCCTGCCCAGTGTCCCCCCAGTCCCATCCCAGCCCTGCCCAGTCCCATCCCCAGTCCCCCCAGTCCCCGGGGCCGGGGCCGGGGCGGGCAGGGTCCTGCCCGGCTGCTCCGGAGCGCGGCTCCCGTCGGGTGCCAGGGCCCGCAGCAGCCCGGCCAGGGCCCGGGGCCCGGGGGCCAGCCAGCGGGACGGCCTCCTGCACAGAGCACAGGAGCCACCAGCTCTCCCCGCTGCTCCCCGCGGGTTCTCCGGCGATCCGGAGCTCACTGGGAGCACCGAGCCCGCCCAGGAGCTGCTGCTGCCCCGCAGGGCTGAGCAAGGGCTGGCAGCAGTGCCTGGGACGTGCTCTGATCCCTCTGACCCCAGGGGAAACCCTACGAGATCCCCACGAGGCCACCACCGCGGTGAGCCAGGCACAGGGACCCTTCCTGGGCATGACTGGCACACAGGAACCTTCCTGGGCACACAGGAACCCTTCCTGGGCATGACTGGCACACAGGAACCCTTCCTGGGCACACAGGAACCCTTTCTCAGTATGTCTGGGCACACAGGAACCTTCCTGGGCACACCTGAGCACACACAGACCCTTCCTGGGCACACACAGACCCTTCCTCAGCATTCCTGGGCACGCACAGACCCTGGGCACACACAGACCCCTCCTGGGCACACGCAGACCCTTCCCCTTGCCTGCCCACGCTGGCTCTCACCTGGACGTGGCCGCGGCGCTGTCAGGGCTGCTGGGGAAGCTCCTGCACGCAGGGCTGGTGGCTCCAAAGAGCCAGCCCAGCCAGCTGCCCCTGCCAGCAGCGGGAGGATCGCCCCCGCCCGGCCCAGGGGCTGCTGCCGGGTTTCTGCTGCCAGGAGGCTCCGGGGGAGCAGCCAGGGGGTTCCTTCCAGCACTGCCATCCTCCAGCTTGCTGAACGCTCCGCTTCCAGCGGGCAGGAAGAGATCTTCAGGGGAGGAGGTGCCCGAGGTGTCCGTGCTGCCGCTGGGCTTTGGGATGGGGCGCTCAGGGCCAGCTTTGGTCTGAAGGAGCTGCAGCTCCGTGCCCCTGGGCTCGCTGGACGTGGGGCACTGCCCAGCCTGGCCCGGGCTGGGCTCCCCCGCCGCCCGCAGCTTCGTCCACCACACCGAGGGGAACCTGTCCTTGCTGGGAGCGGTGTAAACCCTGGAGCTCTGGCTCAGCTGGCCCCAGCAGCCCCCGAGGCCAGCCCCAGTGCCCGCAGTGCCCTCCCGGGGCCCGGGGCCCTGCGGGGGGCTGTCAGAGCCCAGCAAGCTGCGGCCCAGCTGGTCGCCCCAGCGCAGCACCTGCTGCAAGGTTTGCTGCAGGGCAGCCCCCACCGGGGGGGCAGGCACCAGCCCACCCACGGGCGCCTGGCACCGGCCCCCCGCGCCCCCCACCCTGCCCAGAGCATCCCGGGGGGGCTCATCCTGCAGGCTGGGCCCTGCAGCAGCGCTGTGCAGCCCCAGGGACCCCCGCGCAGGGACGGGGGGACAGCCAGGGGACAGCGGGGACTCCAGCCGGCGCGACAGGGGCCGCACGTCCACGGAGAGGTGGTGGTGCTCAAAGAGCAAGTCCAGGTGGAAGGTCAGCACCGAGAGGGGCTGGATGAGCAGCAGGAGCTCGTCAGCAAGGTGGGGGAGAGGGCCTTGGCTCAGGGCAAAGAAGGCCGTGGGTGAGTAAAGCACGGAGATCACACCTGTGGGGACAGGGACGGGTGAGGCAGGCGCAGAATGGCCCCTTGTCCTTGTCACATCCCCACCAAGGGCCAGCCAGGCTGTCCTCGTCACTCAGAGCACCCTCTGTGCTGAAGGTGCACCATGGAAAAGGATCCACTGTGGAAACTCCAGCCAAGCAGGGATGTATCCCAAGCCCAGAGAGGGATTTTCAGCGTGGGGAGGGCTTGGGGAGGGAGCTCCTGGGTGCCGTGTCCTTACCTGGGCTCTTCTGCAGCTGAGATATCCACAACTCCAGCTGTTTAATGCTAAACAAGCCAAAGGAAACCCAAATTGGAGCCCCTGGGACAGCTCCAGCCCGCCGTGGCAGTGGGGCTGGCGGGGCCAGCAGCACTCACTTCAGAAGGCCGAGGATGAAGGCGTGGAACTTCTGCCGGGGGCTGCTGAGCGGGGCCAGCCCGGCCACGTGCCAGCACAGGGCGTGCAGGGAGCGGCTGCCGGGGCCTGCGGGGCACAGCACGGGCACTCACTGCCCTGGCACAGACACTCACTGCCCTGGCACGGGCACTCACTGCCCTGGCACTCACTGCCCCGGCACTCACTGCCCTGGCACAGCACTCACTGCCCCAGCACGGGCACTCACTGCCCTGGCACGGGCACTCACTGCCCTGGCACGGCAGGACCCCCGGCACCTGGGCATGCCCCCGGCTGCACCCTCACCTGTTTTCACCGAGGCTTCCACCACGCTCCAGGGGGAGTTTTTCCTCTGGCCCGTGATCACGTCCTTCTGGAAGGGCTTCAGCCCGTCCTCCACCAGGGCGCAGAGCGCGGGGCACAGCGTGTGCAGCAGCAGGTAGCCCACGTCGGGGTTGAGCCGGCTGTCCCCCAGCTGGGCCTGGGGGAGGACCGGGAGAGGGGAGGGAGGGGAAGGGCAGCACCCCGCCCTGACTCCTCTGGGAGGGATGAGGGAGTCCCCAAAACCCTTCTGGCCCGGCCCAGCCCAGCTCTCACCTTCTGCACCAGGTTCCGTGCCGTGCTGAAGTGGGCGATGACCTTGTCCACGGCGGAGCTGACGGCGACCAGCAGCGCTGGGGACACGGAGAGGAGCAGAGGAGAGGAGCAGAGAAGGGTCAGCGTGCAGGGACCCTCCGGGCACCACCTCCGGACCCTGCAGCGCCCCTGGTACCGCGCTGGAGCCGCAGGTCGGGGACCCTGGCCCGGTCACCTGGCGGGAGCGGGCAGGGCGGAGCCGGTGCCGGCAGCGCTGCCCGTCCCTGCCGCGCTGTCCCTGCGTGTCCTTCGCTGTCGCTGCCCCAGCCCAGGACACCGACCCGCAGCCCCGACGCGCGGGTCCCGCCGCCCCCTCCCCTCCCGTTGTGTCCCGCTCCCCGCGGGGGCTGCGGGCAGGACTTGCCCCAACCTTTGGTTTGCTCGCCATGGGGCCCCTCCGCTCTTCCCCCGCCGGGCCCGGCGGCTCCAGCGCCGGCTCATGGAGCCCAGGGCCGAAGGGCGGCGGGGCCGGGCGGGGAGGAAGCGCCGGGAGCCGCGGGGCGGAGCGGCACCGGGACAGCCCCGGCGCCTCCCGAGCAGCGCCGGGCGATGCGGGGAGACCCCCGGATCTCGCCGTGCCCGCCCCGGAGCGCTCCGGGATCGCTCCCACCGCCCGGAGATGCGCAGGTGGCCCCGCAACCCCCCCGGCAGAACCCCAGAGGGAGCCGGACTCACCCCCCGTGCGGGTCTCGTCTCCTCGCTGGGCCGCCCGTGGCACCGCGGGGTCCCCGCCGGGCCCCCCGAGCCTGCGGAGCGGGGCAGCGCCCAGCCCCTTCTCCCCTGGGGGCAGCCCCCCCGTCTCCACATCCCTCGGCTGCCCCTCCGCGATGGGCTGCAGGCTGGGCCGGGCTCTCCTTCTCGGCTGGTGGCCGTCGCTGGGTGCCAGCAGCGGTGTCCCCCCCAGGGACGCGGGGGGCACGGGGGGCACGGGCGGGTGCTGGGCCGGCTCTGCCCGCTGGCCCTTGGGCTGCCGGGCGGCACTGCGGGACCGCAGCTCCTTGAACGTGGTCACCTCTCTCTGCCTGGAGCCGGGAGGCCGGGCTGGCCCGTCCTGCTGCGGCTGCGGCTGCGGCTGGGGCTGGGGCTGGGGTCGCTCCTGGCCCGTCGTGCCCGAGAGCAGCTCGCTGCTGGGGGGCAGCTCCGTGTCAGGCGAGAACACGATGAGCCAGTCACTGCGATCAACCCTGGCCTGGGCCAGCGTGGGCCCAGCCGCGTTCCTCTTCCTCCTCTGGGCCAGCTCGTGGAAGGAGGTGATGGTCTTGGTGGCCGCGTCTCTGCACAGCTCGCCCGGGCCGGCCTGGGGCTGCTCGGCTCTGTGCGCGTTCAGGACCTGCAGCCGCCGCCGGGGCCGGGGGGGCACGGGCGGGGGGAGCCCCCCGGGCCGGGGCCGCGGCTGCGGAGCGCTGCTCGGGATGGCGGCATCCCGCCGCTCCGGCACGGGCGGCGGAGCGGGGGGCGCGGCGTCGGGCTCAGGGAGGGGGTTGCAGTTGGGGTCGAGGTCGGCGCAGGGGCCGGTGGTCTCCGGTGCTGCGGTGCCGGGAGAGAGCTCGTCGCAGTGGGAATCGAGCGAGTTGCTGCTGCAGAGGCTGTCTGGGCTCTTGCTGGCCGCCGCCGTGGCTCTCAGGGGCACTGGGGAGTTGTGGTTGGCATCTCTCCCATGGCACGTCCTGTGCTGGTCAGCCAGAGCTTCCCCATCAGCCAGAACCTCTCCATCAGCCAGAGATTCCCCATCAGCCAGAGCTTCCCCATCAGCCCGGTCCCCTCCATCAGCCAGAGCCTCTCCATCAGCCAGGGCCTCTCCATGCCAGGCGTTTTCTGTGGCAATGACGTTCAGCTGCTTGTCAGGGGACTGGGACTCTGCTCTGGCGAACTCCTTGCAGTACACCGAGACCGGGGAGTCATCCAAGCTGAAATCCGAGCAGCTACTGACAGAGGAGGAGGAGGAGGAGGAGGAAGAAGCCAGATCACAAGGGGGATCACAAGGGGAAGCCGCCTCCTCCTCGTCTCCGCTGTGCAGGCAGGGGAAATCCTCTTGGTTCTGCAGCCCCAGCGGCTCCGGCTCGGCGGGGTGGGACTGGCAGCAGCGGCATTTCACCGAGGCGTTGTTGGAATTGGCATCCACCGGCTCCCGGTTCTCCGGGCACTGCGTGCAGCCCGTCTGCTCTCCCGCAGCCGTGGAGCCGTCCTGCAGCTCGGGGTGCCGGGAGAGGTGCAGCCCCAGCGAGATGTGCTGCAAGTGGATGTGGTTGAGGTTGCACAGGAGGCCTTTCTTTGGAGCCAGCATGGTGCTGCCTCGCGGGAAGCGCCGGGGCTCCCAGGAGAGGCCAGCAGCTCCTCTCTTCACACCATCCAGCTCCCTGCAAGCACCAAACACCTCCGGGTCAAGGCGGAGCACAGCGGGACAAACCTGGAGAGAGGCACAGCCGGGGGAAGAGGGGCGGCAGTGACCTTGCAGCGGGGTTAGAGAAGGGGATGTGGCCCGAGGGAGGGGCCCCGCAGCTTCCTGCCGGGCTTGGGGCTCTGCGGCCGGGCAGGGGCTGAGGGCAGCCGCTGGTCCCTGGAGCACGGCCTGGGAGGGTCCCGGGAAGCTGCTCCGGGGCTGGATTCCCTCCGGAGGGGCGGCAGCATCTCGGGGATGCCGTCAAGGAGAAAACGCCCTTGGAGCCTCGTCGAGGCGGGGCGGGGTGAGGGGGGGATGCTGTCCTGGCTGCGGGCGGTGGCACCACGGGTGCTCAGGGAGCGGGGCTTGGCCGGGAGCCCCCGGCCCTGGGAATGCTGCAGAACCGGCACCGCACCCCCGGGCCCGGCTGTACCGGGGGGAGCCCCGGCCCCGGGCGCCTGCTGGAGGCTCCGGGCAGCGGAGAGCGCGGGAGGGCGGCTCCGAGCATCCGCCAGCACCGAGCATCTGTCAGTACCGAGCATCCGCCAGCACCGAGCATCCCCCGGCCCTGAGCATCTGCAAGCTCAAAGCATCCTCCAGCCCTGAGCATTCCCCAGGCCCCGAGCATTATCCAGCCCCGAGCATCCACCCGCACCGAGCATCTCCGGGCTCTGAGCATCCTCCAGCCCCGAGCATCCTCCCGTTCCGAGCATCCCCCGGCGCCAGGGCGAGCACCGGCGGCCCGGCCGCCGCACCGGCGCTCCTGGGCGCGGCTCTCCCCATCCCCCGCAGCCCCCATCCCCTTCCCCGTGCCCCGCTCACCTCGGCGCTGCGGCGGCGAATGCGGCTGCGGGAGGCAGGGAGGGAGGGAGGAGCCGCGGCGCCGCCACCGGGAGCCGCCCGGTCCCGCCCCAGCGGCGGCGGGGGCGGTGCTGCGGGCACCCCGAGCCCGGCGGGCACCGGGGCGGTACCGGCATCCCCTCCCCGCCATCCAGCCCCCAGACAACAGCAGGCAGCGCCGCAAATACAATAATTTATGTTTATTGACACACGGCCGGGGGGGGAGATGGCTGAACCCACCCCCACGACCATCCCATCGCGCCTTGTCCAGGGCAGGGAGCAGCTCCAGCCCCTGCCCGGCCCCTCCATCACTTCTGCCGCTTGTAGATCTTCTGGGCCAGGTCCAGGAAGATGTCCCTGGGCAGGCGCCGGGCGTGCTTGCCGATCAGCTCCTGCAGGCGCCGGTAGCTGCTCTCCTCGTAGTCCCGGAACGCCGCGGGCATGCCCAGCGCATCGTAGAGCTCCTTCACCTTCGCCACCTTCTGGGGCTCCTTGCAGCCGTAATTCTCCTGAGAAAAAACCCTGGGGTGAGTCAGGGCCCATCCCAGCGCACGGGCCAGGAGCTTTGTTCTCTCTCTTTGTTCCTGTGATATTAGCAAAAATCTTTTTGCTAGGATTTTTTTCTCTTGGGAAGATGAGAAGCTTCACAGGAAAAGAAGAACAATATTATCTGATGGCTTCTCCTTGTGCTTTGCTGCTTTGGAATGTGGCAGGTGAATCTTTGATTGGTTCCAGGTGAGTTGTTTTTATTTCATGACCAAACCCAGTCCAGCTGTGTCAGACTCTGGTCTCTCACAGGTTTTTATTATTTATCCTTTTTTTAGCCTTCTGATGTATTCCTTATTTTTTAATATAATTTATTTTAACATAATATCATAATATCCCTACGAAATATGGAGTCAGACTCATTTATTCCCTCGTCCTGGGACCCTCACAAAAACACCCCAACACTTTTCTTTCTTCTCACCCTCCTCCTCCCAGCCAGGTGACAGCTCCTGGCCCTCCAGGTGCACACCCAGCTCTGTCAAGCTCCACACTGCACTCACCTCAGAAAAGGAAGCTTCCCCTTAATCCCTGGAGCCCCCTGTGCTCCTTGGGAAGGGCAGGAGTGTGACAGTGCAGGGAAGGGAGCAGCTCAGGGCTGCCTTACCTGCAGGATGTGCCTCTGCTCCGGCGTGGCCCTGCGCAGACACTGCACCACCAGCCAGCTGCACTTGTTGTCCTGGATGTCAGTGCCAACCTTCCCTGTCACAGCTGGGTCCCCGTAGCAGTCCAGGAAATCGTCCTGTGTGCCAATGCCACGGCCTGAGTGCCACAGGCAGCCCCTGGCTGTTCTACCAGCTCCTTTGAGCCGAGTCCCATGAGCTTTTGGAGGTTTAGAACACACCCAAGAGAGCTCAGCTGCCTCTGGAGGCATAAAAACCAGCAGGATGGCTTCTGGTGCAGTGTTGGAAACAAAAAGGTTTCATAAAAGGCAAAATAACAACCAGAAAAACTGATCCAGGTGCAAGAGGCTTTCCTGCCCCTGGTGAAACACTTCACAAAAGCAATTAGTTTCTTTGTTCACTTCTTTTCTAAAGAAATATTTTCTAAATAAATCTAATAAAATTGCCTGAGACCTTCTGGCTTCTGTCTAATTAGCTATCCTTAAGTCTGAAATCCTCAAAGTCTTATGAAGTGGCTTTTCACTCAATCAATGGAAGAAACTTCGGAGTTTCTTTCCTTTTTAGGAGGACAAAGGATAGTTTTGCCACCCCATCAACAGGAGGCACATTCCTACAGCTGACAAGCAGCCAGGCCTGAGACAGCTCCTACCTGGATCTGGAAGAACTCTCCCATCTCCAGCAGGATGGCTTTGGCGTCCTCGTGCTCCTCCTTGCCATCAATGCCTGCCTGAGGGGAGAAGTAACAGGGATGAAAAAGGCTTCCAGGACCTGGTAAAAAGCCCTCCAGGACCTGGGGAGAAAGCCTTCCAAGACCAGGGAAAAAGTAAAGCCTTCCAGGACCAACCCGGGGATCAAGTCTTCCAGGGCCAGGGCTAAAGTAAATCCTTCCAGGACCTGGGGCTAAATCCTTCCAGGACCAGGGACAAAGCAAAGCCTTCCAGGACCCGGGCTAAAGCAAAGCCTTCCAGGACCTGGGCTAAAGTAAAGCCTTCCAGGACCAGAAATGGGATAAATCCTTCCAGGACCAGGGAAAAAGTAACTCCTCCATCAGCAAGGGATGGAGCCTTCCAGGACCAGAAATGGGATGAATCCTTCCAGGACCAGGGAAAAAGTAAATCCTTCCACCACCAGGGGATGGAGCCTTCCAGGACCTGTCCCCGGCCAGGCTGGCAGCTCCTGAGCTGCTCCAGCACTCACCATGTACATGGCTGCAGCCACGGGCAGGTAGAAGGAGTAGAACGCTGTCTTGTACTTCACAATGGCCTTGTACCTGTGCCAGAGGAACCAGGCTGAGCCCGGGGGGCACGGGCTGCAGGGCACCCCAAAAACCAGCCCCAGGGGGGGCACGGGCTGCAGGGCACCCCAAAACCCAGCCCCAGGGGGGGCAGGGGCTGCAGGGCACCCCAAAACCAGCCCCAGGGGGGGCAGGGGCTGCAGGGCACCCCAAAAACCAGCCCCAGGCCACCCTCCTCAGGGCACCCCAAAAACCAGCCCCAGGGGGAGCAGGGGCTGCAGGGCACCCCAAAACCAGCCCCAGGGCCACCCTCTGCAATGTAGGGACTGAAGGGCACCCCAAAAACCAGGCCCAGGCTGAGTCTCTGCAGGGCAGGGATAGAGGGCATCCCACAAACCAGCCCCAAGGCTGATTCTCTGCTGGGCACCCCAAAAGCAGCTCCAGGGCCACCCTCTGCAGGGCAGAGACTGCAGGGCACCCCAAAACCAGCCCCAAGGCTGAGTCTCCGCAGGGTAGGGACAGAAGGACACCCCAAAAAAACCAGCCCCAAGGCCATCCTTTCCAATGTAGGGACTGGAGGGCACCCCAAAAACCAATCCCAGGCTGAGTCTCTGCAGGGCACCCCACAAACCAGCCCCAAGGTGACACTCTGCAGGGCAGGGATGGAGGGCACCCCAAAAGCAGCCCCAGGCTGTCTGTGCTGGGCACCCCAAAAGCAGCCCCGGCTCTGCCCCCGTACCGCTCCTCGCTGAACCTGCTCAGGTCCACCTGGGAAACGGGAGCAGTGATGAGGTCCAGAGTCTGCCCCAGCTCGGTCTGGTAGCCTGTCTGCAGGGGAAAGAAAGGATCTGTGACCTGCTGCAGCTTTTCTGTGCTCAGAGGGGTGTAAAAAACAAGGAGGAGGATGTGCTGCATGGGGAGAATAAGATACAGGGTGATGGTTGTGACAGATCAGTGACTTTGATATTGGGAAGAAATTTTGGCTGGGAGGGTGTGAGGCCCTGGCACAGAGCAGCTGTGGCTGCCCCTGGATCCCTGGCAGTGCCCAAGGCCAGGCTGGACAGAGCTGGGAGCAGCCTGGGACAGGGGAAGGACTGGAGCCAGGCTGGGAATGTTCAGCCTGGGTGGGACCTCAGACCTTGCAGGGCCTGAAGGGGCTCCAGGGAAGCTGGAGAGGGACTGCTTATCAGGAACTGGAGTGACAGAACAAGGGGAATGGGTTCAGACTGGAAAAGGGGAAATTTAGGATGGATATATGGGGGAAATTCCTCCCTGTGAGGGTGGGCATGCCCTGGCACAGAGAAGCTGTGGCTGCTCCTGGATCTCTGGAAGATCCAAAGCCAGGCTGGACAGGGCTTGGAGCAGCCTGGGACAGTGGGAGGCATCCCTACCACAGCAGCAGGGTGGAACAAGATGATCCTGAAGGTCCCATCCAGCCCAAAGCAGCCTGTGACTCCACACTTCACTCACCCAGCCCTCCAGGAACATCCCAACCCCTCAGCGCAGAGCCCAAACCCTGCTTCAGCTCCCCTGCTGAAGGCAGGGCGTGCCCAGGAACATCAGGAACACCTCAGAAAACATGCCCAGAACTCAGCAAGGCTCGGGGAGGCAGGCTCACCTGCAGGAAGAGCTCCAGCAGGTGCAGGTAGTAGGGCTGCTGCCCGCAGTACCTCCGGAGCAGCCGGTACACCGAGGACTCCAGCAGGAAAGAGTCATTGACGGCGTCCAGCCCGATGCCCTCCTGCAGCAGCGAGGCACAGGGGTGTCCCCAAAGCCTCCTGACCCCCGGGGACCCCCCCAGCCGCCAGCACCCCCTCACCTTCTTGTACCAGCAGAGCTGCCCCCGGCGGGTCAGCGATGCGTCCATGATGTCGTCGGCCACCAGGAAAAAGGCCTGGAACTGCGGGGGGCTGCCTGAGGGATGGGGGGACCCCCGGGCTCCCAGACCCAGAGGCTCCCATGCCCCAAGGGGCCCCATCCCCTTCCCTGAGAGGGTCCCATCCCCAGAGGGTCCCAGCCCCAGGGGGGGTCCCATCCTCCAGGGGCTGGGGGTCCCGTGCCCACAGAAGGGGTCGCATGCCCCACAGCTCCCGTCCCCAGGGGGGGTCCCATCCTCCAGGGGGGGTCCCATCCCATGGGGATCCCACCCTCCCGGGGCTAAGAGTCCCACGCCCACAGAGGGGGTGCCCATACGCAGAGGGTCCTATCCCCCACAGGTCCCATCCTCCAGGGAGGGTCGGGGGGAGGGGGGTCCCACTCTCAGTGGAGGTCCCATCCCCCAAGAGTTCCATCCCCCAAGGGTTCCATGCCCATGGATCCCATCCTCCAGGGCGGGGGTCCTACCCTCAGGGTGGGACAAGGGGGGGTCCCACTCTCAGGGGGGTCCCGGCCCCGGGTGAGGAGGGGTCCCGCTTCTCACCAGCTCGATGCACCAGCCCACGGCCAGCGCTCGGCGGAGGCTCTCCGGGTCCTGCTGCTCGGGGCCCGCCAGCCGCCGGAACGCGGCCACCACCGTCAGCCCCCGGTTGCACTTCCCGCCCGGAGCGTTGTACTCCAGCACCTGCGGGAGCGCAGCCCGGTGAGCAGCCCTGACCCTTCCCTCTCCCAAGCCCCGGTCCCGGTCCCGCCGCCCCCTTCCCGTTCTCACCTGCTTCACCCGCGCCACGGCGTCTCCCACCTCCGCGTGTCCCAGCATGTCCTCCGTCAGGTCGCGGACGATCTGCGGGAAGAAGGCGGCGAACTCCTGGCGCTCGGCCGCCGCCCGGGCCCCGCCGCCATCGCCGCTCATGCTGCCGCCTCTCCCGGCCCCGCCGCCGCCTCACGGCCCCTCAGCGCCAGCCCCGAGCGCACGCCGGGACGCGCAGTCCCGAGGCGCGGGTGCGGCCGCTGTTACGTCCGCCGCTGGACTACAACTCCCAGTGTGTCCCGCGCATCGGGGCGGGCCAGCGGACTGGCGGCTGGAGCAGCGCCCATTGGCCCGTTTTATCGCGCGAGGATGAGCCCAAGGCGGTTGAGCCAATAGAAGCGAGGCGGGGGCGGGAGCGAGCCCGGTGATTGGTGGAGAGGGGGAATGGAGCGAGTGCCCGGCGTGGCGCGGGGGCGCGGTGGAGCGTATGGGCGTGGCTTTGGGGCGTGGCTAAGGGCGGGGCGTGCCCGGTGACCGGGAGCGGAACGGGGGCGCGGGACCCGGACGGGGACAGCTCTGGAACCGGGCAGAACCGGGGCTCTGCGGGGCGGAACGGGGCTCTGCGGGCCGTGCGGGGCTGCAGGGCGGCTGTGGGGCGCTGGGCAGGTGTGGCACAACACAGGTGTGGGGTGCAGCGCAGGTGTGGGGTACACAGCAGTTGTAGGGTGGAGGGTAGTTATGGGGTACAGAGCAGTTTTGGGGTGCAGAGCGGTTATGGGGTGAAGGGCGGCTGTGGGGTGTGCTGCAGACTCTGTGGGTGCAGGGCAGTTTTGGGGCGCAGAGCCGGGGTGGGTGCTGTGCAGGGCAGTTTTGGAGTTTTGGGGTGCAGGGCAGGTTTGGGGTGCCGAGCCGGGGTGGGTGCTGTGCAGGGCAGTTTTGGGGTGCAGAGCCGGGCCGGGTGCTGTGCAGGTGTGGGGTGCAGGGCAGTTTTGGGGTGCAGAGCCAGTGTGGGTGCTGTGCAGGGCAGTTTTGGGGCGCAGGGCAGTTTCGGGGTGCAGAGCCGGGGTGGGTGCTGTGCAGGTGTGGGGTGCAGGGCAGTTTTGGGGTGCAGGGCAGTTTTGGGGCGCAGGGCAGTTTCGGGGTGCAGAGCCGGGGTGGGTGCTGTGCAGGGCAGTTTTGGGGTGCAGGGCAGTTTTGGGGTGCAGAGCCGGGGTGGGTGCTGTGCAGGTGTGGGGTGCAGGGCAGTTTTGGGGTGCAGGGCAGTTTTGGGGTGCAGGGCAGTTTCGGGGTGCAGAGCCGGGCTGGGTGCTGTCTCTGCACAGGAACGGGGCGCAGTACCGGTGTGGCGGGTGGGTTTCCCCACACGCCCGTGCGGGTTCCGGGGCGTCCCGGGACCCTCGAGGGGACGCCGCAGGGGTGACCCGGGCCGGGCACAGGCGGTGACACCATCCCGCTGCTCCCCGCCCCGCAGTTTGGCTCCCGCCCCGAATCTCCTAATCCCGGCTCGCCCGCGTTAATTAATCCCCCTGTGGTGCCCTCTAATCCCCCTCCCGCCGCCGCCGGGGCGCGGGGGCTCGGGGCAGAGCCTCCGGTTCCAGCCCGGGTGTCCTTGGGGAGGGGAACCGGGGACGGGCGGGGGGCTCTGCCCGCACCTCCGGGGCTCTGCGGGACCCCCGCGTCCCGGGGCTTTGCCCCCAGTCCCGGGCGGGGCTCCGCCGTGACCCGGGGTCCCTGTGCCTCGGCCGCCAGCCCCCCGATGGACACGAACCGGATGGAAGAGTGTCGGAATAGGGAGAGGAAATATGCTGGAATTCATTCCCAAAAAAAATGCTCTTTTTGCCCTGCGCCCCCTTAATCAGGCTGGCTGCGGTGTAATCTGAAATAATCAAATTAGAGAGAAACCGCTAATCAGCGCTGAGCTCTTCGTGTGTCACCGAGCCTAATTCCTGCGGGGAGCGGGGGGGGGGACACCGCCAGCACCGTCCTGCGGGCCGGGGATGTCCCGGTAACGGGCAGGGGCTGCCCCGGTAACGGCCAGGGACTGCCCCGGTAATGGACAGGGGATGCCCCGGTAACGGGCAGGAACTGCTCTGGTAACGGGCAAGGGCTGTCCCGGTAACGGGCCGGGACTGCCCCGGTAACTCAGGGTTTGCGGGCCGGGGATGTCCCGGTAACGGGGAAGGGCTGCCCCGGTAACGGGCCGGGACTGCCCCGGTAACTCAGGGCTTGCGGGCCGGGGATGTCCCGGTAACTCGGGGCTGCGGGCCGGGGATGTCCCGGTAACGGGCCGGGACTGCCCCGGTAACGTGGGGCTAGGGGCCGGGGATGTCCCGGTAACGGGCAGGGGCTGCTCCGGTAACGGGGAAGGGCTGCCCCGGTAACGCGGGGCTGCGGTGGCGGGCCCGGGCAGGGCACAGCGCGGTGGCCACCAGCACCCGCGTCCTGCCAGCCACCGCGTCCCGCCTGGGGGGGCTGTGCCGGTGCCGAGGGGCGGCCCGGGCACGGCTGTGCCCCGAGAGCCGCGCCCGGTGCCGCAGCGGTGCCCCGGCGCACCTTGCGCCGTGTGACCTTCGTTTAATCGCGTTAATGCCTGAGCGCTGCTCCGCAATCAGGCGGAATCAAACCCGCCCATCCCCCCGGCAATGCAGGGAGCGGGGATGGAAGGGGAAAATAACCCGAGATTAAACATTAATCTGCCCAGGGCCCAAAGGCACCGCGGTGGGCGGGAGGGGACCTGTCGCCTTCGGGTTCCTGCCACGCCACCCGGGTCTGTGGGGCTGGGGGAGGCCCCTCAGTGGCTCCCGAGGGTTTCCCGGCTCTGCAGAAGGCCAGGATTGGAGCTGGGGTGCTGCAGCATCCCCCTGACCTTCCTCATCCTCGGGCAGGGAGCTGTGGGGTCACAGGAGGCGCAGAAGGAGTTTTCCCCCAGACCAGCTCAGAATCTCTCTTTATTATTTAAACCCATTATGTACAAGGACCAAAAAATAAAAAAGAAAAAAAAAAAAGCTCTTAAATTCTCTGCGATATGAAAACTACAAGCTCTGTACATGGACTGCCGCGAGTGCAAGGGTGGAGGATCGTGGTCTTTGGTGGCTAAACTCGCACCCCCGGCCCCTGCAGCCTCCCCCGGGGTGGGCACCGGACCCCGGGGACGGGAGCGCTCGGTGGCTCCGGCTCCTGACACGGGGCTGGGCAGCGGCAGCTCGGTGCTGCCCGAGCCGGCCCGCAGGCTCTGCGGAGCGCTGGGATGACCGCTAAGACATCGACATCACGCAGTGGGAACACAGCCCGGGGGCTTGGGACACCGCGGCTCCCTGCAGGTCCCTCCCGATGGGGACACACCGAGCCGGGGATGGATGGAGCGGGACAGGGGGTGAGCAGGGCAGGGCGGGTGAGATCCATGGGAAAAGGCAGTGCAGGACATCCCCTCTGGGGATTCCCGGTGGGCTGGTGCTCCCAGGGCAGCTCTGCGCTGCTCCCGACGCCCCGAGACACGAGGGTGGAGAACGGGGCGCTGAAGGGTCGTGTTTCCCCGACACCTCACTGCGGGAAGGACCGAGGGGAACGAGACCTCGCCCGCTGCGCTGGGGGCTCCGGCGGGGCCCCGCTCAGCCCCAGAGCTCGGGGACAAGCCGTGGTTCCCGACCCTGGGAGGGGGAAGCGGCTGGCGCGGCGCGGAGGGGACGGAGGGGACGCTACTCTAACTGGGACTGAGCACGGCTGGCCCGAAGCGACACTGGAAGCAGAGCTCGGCTGCTTGGCAGAGCCACGACTCGCACACACATTGCACACTACTGTCTCTGGAGAGGGGGCGTGGGGCATCTGGGGGGACCCTGGGCTCGTGTTGGACAGGGGGTGACCCCACAGCCCCACAGGTCACCCGGGCTCTGCCCGCGATTGGCATCTCGTTGTGGCAGCCTTTTGTTCCTGTGGCACCGGTGACTGGCATCTCCAGGAGAGCTGGAAATGAGACTGCAGCACAGGGCAGGGGAGCAGAGCCCGGGCTGAGCATCCTCCTGGAGCCATGGGCAGGGGGGTCCCCTCGGACTGACCCTCTGAGCATCCTCCTGGAGCCACAGAAGGGTCATCCAAATGATTTTTGGACATCATCCTGGAGCCGCAGAGGGGTCCCCTTGAAGTTATCTTCTGGACATCCTCCTGGAGCCACAGAGGGGTCATCCCAGATGACCTGGACAACCTCCTGGAGCCACAGAAGGGTCCCTGCAGGTGACCCTCTGAGCACCCTCCTGAGGCCACAGACAGTGGGGTCCCCTTGGAGTGACCCCCTGAGCATCCTCCTGGAGCTGCAGGCAGCAGAATCCCCCCAGGCCGCCCCATGGGGCCGGTGGAGGGGCAGCCACCGTGCCCGGGTGTGGGCAGAGCCCTGCCCAGCAGCACAGCCCAACCTCGCTGGCACTCAGCACCTCTGAGGCAAAACGGTCCCACAAGCTGGGGAGAGGGACTGGGGGGCTGCTCCTCTGCCCCCCAGCGCTGCCCCTTGACACTCGTGGCACCAGGGGAGCCCTGCCCAGGACCCCCTGGTGCTCCTGGCACTCTGGGAAGGGGCAGTGCTGACCCTGGACCCCCCTGCCACGGGCTCCTCCCTCCACCTGGGCAGAGGACCCGGGGGTGCCTCTGCCTCCTCACCCTAAAGGCAAAGGGGCTGGGCAGAGCAGTCTGGGGATCGAGGTGGGCATCGGGCAGCCCTGCTGTGACACAGGACGAGCTGGGGGAGCTGCCAGCGCCAGCCTGTGAGGACAGGCTGCGGGACACGCGTGGGGGGCCCAGCCCCCGAGGGGCAGCTGTGGGGAGCTGAGCTCCCCAGAGAGGCCAGGGTTTGGGAGAGGGCTCTGACCTGTCCTGTGCCTCCGGCAGGAGGGCAGAACTCACAGGTGGCGATGAGCAAGGGGGGCAGAGCCCGGGCAGGGCGACCCCCTTGGGGCAGCCAGCAGAGCCCCCTCCTCATCCAGCTCTGGGGCTGGCCATGCCCATCCCTGCCGTGTCCCCGTGCCTCAAACAGCCCCTCCACGGCCCCGGCTGGTGCCTCTCCCCTCGCTTTCCCTCCGCCACGGCGGGGCTGGCGCTCCGCTCCTCCCGCCGCCTGCGCCGCCGGCATGCCCGGCTCGCTCCTGCCCCTCCTAGCGACTCACATGTTGGACGGCAGTTTGGGCTTCGCCGTTTCCACCTCGGGGCTGAAGGCCACGGAGCCCTTGCGGGAGGGAGCTGCCGGCGGCCGGGTCGCGGAGCCCGGGGACTGCGGCGCGGGCGCGGAGCGGGCGGGCTGAGCCAGCGCCGCCGGAGGGTGTGCGGGCTGGCCGCCCATCCCCGCGCACGGCTTGGCCAGCAGTCCGGCCACCGAGGGCGAGGACCTGCGGGCCAGGTTCCCTGCGGATTTCCTGCCCTGCTTCAAGGAGCTGCCGTCGGCTTGCTGGGCCACTTTGTTGGGGAGGGAGGGCTGGGAGGCAGAGAGGAGCCGGACATCCTGCGTGAGCCGCCCCACCGGCAGCCCCTGGATGCTCCTGTGCTTCACCAGCTGCTGGGGCTGCATCAGGAGCGAGATGTGGGAGCCGGTGGCTCGGGACAGGCTGTAGTGGAGCGTTCTCCCCGGCGGCAGCGCCTGCTCGGAGCTGGGGGACGCAGCGCCCGCCGCTTGCTGCAGCAGCGAGGTGGAGAGCGAGGCGCCTCGGGACCGCGACAGCTGGGGCTGGGGGCCGCCCGGGGGCTGCTTGGGCCCCGCTGGCATCTCCCCCCTCTGCGCCGCGCGGGGCAGGGGCTGCGCCCCCGCGCTGGGTCTCTGCGCCCCGCTCTCCTGCGGCTGCACCATGGGCGAGGAAGGAGAACCGGCGGCCGGCGTCTGCAGGTGGGACGGAGCCCCCGAGGGAGAGCCCACCGAGGAGGGCCGGGAGCCGCCCAGGCTGGGCTGGGAGCGGCGCACGGGCTTGGCCAGCAGGGTGGCTTCGGGAGAGAGCGGGCTGGAGATGGAGGAGGGCGGCAGGAAGATGTGAGCCTGCAGGCTGTGCTGGTGGGTCAGCGCGATGGCCACGTTGGTGGTGGCGGCGGCTGTCTGCAGCGGGGCGTGCACCAGCGGCTCCCAAATCACCGGCTTGCCGCTCAGCTCCCGCCCCATCGCCATCTGCTGCAGGTCCTGGATGTTGTGGGCCATGTCCTGGTCGTGCTTCACGATCTGCTGGATCATCTCGTTGTTCAGGGGTCCCGAGCTGTGCTCGGCTCGCTTGCGGAGCAGGATGGAGTTCTTCTTCCCTGGAGGGGAGGCAGGAGTGTTACACACCCTTGGGGACAGTGTGGAGGGCAGGGTGGCAGTGGGAAGGGACAAAAAAACCTCAGAGCTCCAGGGGAAGCAAGACCCTGGGAAGGGACAATAAAACCTCAGAGTTCCAGGGGAAGCAAGCCCTGGGAAGGGCCCAGACTGGAGCAGTGGAAGCAGCAGGGACGAAACAGGAGAGTCCTGACTCCAAAGGGATGGGGGGCTGGGGTCCTGCTTGTCCCCCACAGGCAAGGGAGGGTGAGGACCAGCAGCTGGTCCTGCCAAACACTGCAGGTACCGTGCAGTGCAGTTACATCTTCCCAGGGCAGCCTGTCCTGTGCCACTACCTGGATCTTGCTGGGGGGGAGAGAGAGGGCAGGCTCCTTCCTCATGCTCCTCATCATCCTCATTGCTGGGCACCCGCGGGGCTGGGGCACTCATGCCAGCTCTGTGATTCCACCACCTGTGGGTCTGGGGGCCCATGGGCCCTGGGGGTGGCTGTAGAGGTGGCTGTGCTGAGCCCAGGGGGTCACTCCATGGTGACCCACTCCATGGGGTCACTCTATGGTGTCCTCCAGGAGGACACCCACGGGGCTGGGGCACTGTGATCGCTTCCTCCCCACTCTGTGACTCCACCACCAGTGTTTCTGTGGGCTCGTGGGTCCTGGGGGTGGCTGTAGAGATGGCTGTGCTGAGCCCAGGGGGTCCCTCCATGGTGACCCACTCCATGGGGTCACTCCAGGGTGTCCCTCCAGGAGGAACCCATGGGGTTGGGGCACTCATGCCAGCTCTGTGACTCCACCACCCGTGGGTCTGGGGGCCCCTGGGCCCTGGGGATGGCTGTAGAGGTGGCTGTGCTGAGCCCAGGGGGTCACTCCATGGTGACCCACTCCATGGGGTCACTCTATGGTGTCCTCCAGGAGGGCACTCACGGGGCTGGAGCACTTGTCCCAGCTCTGTGACTCCACCACCCGTGGGTCTGGGGGCCCCTGGGCCCTGGGGATGGCTGTAGAGGTGGCTGTGATGAGCCCAGGAGGTCACTCCATGGTGACCCACTCCAGGGTGTCCTCCAGAAGGGCACTCACGGGGTTGGGGCACTTGTCCCAGCTCTGTGACTCCACTACCTGTGTTTCTGTGGGCCCGTGGACCCTGGGGGTGCTGTGCTGAGCCCAGGGGGGTCACTCCATGGTGACCCACTCCATGGTGACCCACTCCAGGGTGTCCTCCAGGAGAAACCCACGGGCTTGGGGCGCTGTGATCGCCTCCTCCCCGCCCTGTGACCACCCGTGGGTCTGGGCCCCACTCCTCCTCACCGATGCGGTCCAGGCGGTCCATGGCCACGGTCTCGAAGGCCCTGCGCATCATGGGGTACTCCTCCAGCACCTCGTTGAAGTTGTCCACGGACAGCGAGTACAGGCGGCAGTAGGTGTCGGCTCTCACGCTGGCCGTGCGCCTGCCCCGCGTCAGGAGGCAGATCTCTGCAGGGACACGGGGCTGGCTCAGGGGGACACGGCCATCCAGCCCCCTCCCTGCTCTGTTCCTGCTCCAGGGCTGCCCAGCACCCCAAAACCCTGCACAGAGCACGGCTCAGAGGCAGGGGCAGACCCCACAGCCTGTCTCCTTGGCCAGGCACAGCGTCTTCTCCCCCTCCAGGCCATGGAGACACCTCCAGGTGTGGCTGCTGTGATAGCCTGGCCTGTTTCCCTCCCAGAGCTGTGCCTGTATCCTACAAACTGGCTCAGATGTTCTGCTCTGAGCTCCTCTCCTCCCTGGCCAGCAGTGGATGCTCCCTGTGCCTGGGAGGAGAGGAGCTCAGAGAAGACTTTGGTCTGGGGTGAAGACTTTGCCAGAACTGGGGTGAAGACTTTGTCACCTTTGCCACCTTGGCCCCATCCAGCTAGAACTAGGGTGAAGACTTTGCCACCTTGAACTGGGGTGAAGATTTTGCCACCTTTGCCACCTTTGCCACCTTGGCCCCATCCAGCCAGAACTGGGGTGAAGACTTTGCCACCCTGACTGGGTGCCAAGACTTTGGCACTGGGCAGGAGGAGATGAGCAGGCAGAAACACCAGGCACGCCCCAGCTTCTACTCCCCAGGCAGCTTTTGGCCCCTACTCTGCCCACCAGCTCCCCCAGCCCAGCCTCACCCCCAAAGTAGGAGCCGTCAGACAGCTTTGTCTCCTTGTTGCCCTTGGTGAGGATGCTGACCACGCCGTGCTGGATGAAGTACATCTTTTTGCCCACGGTGCCCTCGCGGATGATGAAGTCCCCGGGCTGGAAGACCTCGAAGCGCAGCTTGGTCAGCATGGCTGTCACAAAGTTGGGGTCGGCGTTGGCAAACAGGGGCATGTTGGCCACCAGGTTGCGGCAGTTGAAGTTGATGATTTCCTGTGGGGTGAGGAGCAGCTCAGTGCGTGCAGCCACGTTTCTCTCCACAGAGAAAAGCAAGGCACAGCTCTTCCCAAGAATATTCCTGGGTTTCGCATTCTCTGAACCTCAGAGAAAGGAAAAACAATTCTTGTCTCATTTGCTGTGCCTGTGTTGTGCCGAAGTAGAATGCAATGTGAAAATTGTTTACCCAGAGTGATGGGGTTTGGTTTCCTTGGCCTGTCAGGGCCAAGTGTGTGTATATGTCGGGACTGTCGGCTGACAGTCACGAGATATTGAGCAGTTGTGTACAAAGCTGAGGGCTTGGTAAATTCCGTTGGGATGTAATGTAATAGAATATAGTATAAATAATAATAAAATTATTGTTATAATAAAAATAGAGTTAATAAAGTTTAAAATAATAATTCTAAATATTATAACAACATATTATAAAATATTATATTAATATTATAAATAATATAACATAATATATAATTATAATTATACATTATAATATTATTATAATATATTGATTACAATAATAAAATCATAATAATTACAATAATATAATAATTATATTATTATAATTATTATATTATAATTAATTACAACAATTAATTATTATAATTATGATATAATTATAATTATAATAATTATAATAATAAAATTAAATTAAGAGTAAGTTTTAATATTTTAATAAGAATATTATAATAAAGTTATAATAATAAAGTTTATAATGATAGATAATAATAATAAAAAATAAAATAAAATTATAATAATAAAATTAAATTAAGAGTATGTTTTAATATTTTAATAAGAATATTATAATAAATTATATATATTATTATATTAATATAATACAGTATAAATAATTAAATTAATTAACCTTCTGATATTATAGAGTCCTTCTCATCATTTCTCCCCACACAGGGGTCATCCTCTTTCAATAAGTGGGGCCACCACCGAGCCTGGCCCCTGCCAGCAGCAGCCCCTGCCCTGCAGGTCACAGCAGGGAGTGTTGCCCTCACCTCTTTGAGGGGCTCGCTGAGCTCCCCCAGGATGTTCTCCTCGTCAAACATCTTGCCCTGGTAGCGGTGCTCGTAGTACTCGTGGATGCGCTGGCGCGTGTCCCCGGGCAGCTTGTGGAACGACATGTACTGCTCCACCTGCTTGTACTGCGGGGACAAGGGGAGTCACTCAGGGCTGAGCTGGCACCACCCGCGTGGCTGCATGAGGTGTCCCTCCTCCCCAGTGCCCTGACCCAAAGGGGGTGAAGGACAGCACGCCTGTGCACTCGGGATGCAGGTGGAGCAGGGCAGAGGGCAGGGTGGGGCCACACTGTGCACAAGTGACCCCCAGTATGGACACCAGTGTGGTCCCACTCTCAGTGGGCAGCCTGAGCTCCACCTGCAGCACCCCGAGGGAGAGTGGCAAGGACAAAGATCCCAAGCTCTGGAATCAGTAGGGCACAGCTCAGTGCTGAGCTGGTTCTGGAGCTGGACCCACCCGTGCCAGGATTCTTCCCCCAGCACCCAGGCCCTCCCTCCCCACCCACAGAATAATGAGGTTGGAAGAGACCTCAAAGATCATCAAGTCCAACCCATGCTCTGACACCTCAAATTGACTACAGCACCAGGTGCCATGTCTCTCATCAGGTACACACAGTCACCTGTCCAGGGACACAAAGGACACACCTGTGAAGAGCCTGGCCTGAGCCCAGCACAGCAGAACCACGGGAAATAATCACACAATCACAGAATAATGAGGTTGAAAGAGACCTCGAAGATCATCAGGTCAAACCTGTGCCCTCACACCTCAACTCACTATAGCACCAAGGGCCATGCCCAGCCTTGCTTTAAACACACCCAGAGATGGTGATTCCACCCCCACCCTGGGAAGAGCATAAAGAATACTTTATTATTCTTTTGGTGAAAAATTTTTTCCTAATATCCAACCAATACTTTCCCTGAGGCAGCTGAGACTGTCCCCACTGACCTTCTCCTGGTACTGGCGCCGGGACGAGTCCAGGGACTGGATGAGGGCGGTGGCGTGGCCGATGAACATGGCGTAGCAGGTGGCCCCCACGATCATGCTGAGCATGGTGAGCCACACGTCCGACATGCCCACGGGCGCCTGCTGCCCGTAGCCGATGCACAGCATGTGGCTCATGGCCTTGAACAGGGCGTGCGAGTACTGCTTGCCCCACGAGTCGTTCTGCAGACGAGGCACAGTGGGGATGAAGGGGTTGGTGGAAGGTGTTGTGCAGCTGAACCCCCCCCATCCCACCTCCCTGAGCTGGGCAGTCCAGAGACCCAGGGAGAAGAAGGTTCCTCCAAGGCCAAAGGGATGAGTTCTGCTCCAGGAAGAGGATTGTGAAGGCCTAAAGAGGCACCAGGCCCTGCTCTGGGGAGGAGGCTGGAGCCCCAGTATCCTGTTCCCTCCCCGAGGGATTCCCGGACTCCAAGGCTGGCTGAGATGGGAAGGTGATGCAGAGGTTCCCTCTGCCCTGCCTCACTGCTATGACCACAGAGACAATGCTCACCAGCACGTCTCCCAGCAGCTCCAGGTGGAGAGACAGGGAACCAAACCCTCTCCCCACCACGGCAGATCCCAGCTGGAACCACCCCAGTCTGGGCACTCAGTCTGGGCACTCACCACCATGTGGTTCTTGGCGACCCAGCAGTCCCCAGGGAAGTCCTGCAGCATGGGCACCAGGAACTGCAGGCAGCCGTCCCAGTGGCACAGCAGCAGCATCATCCCGATGAGGTTGAAGATCCTCACCACGGCGCTGGCCAGGTCATACGTCATGTGGAAGATCTGGGGAACAGGGCAGTGCAGCATCCCATGAACTCTCCCCACTTGGTCAATCCCCAAGCCCTCAGCCCTGGAAACATGAACTACTTCCCACAGTCACCCCTCCCAAAGGGATAAACAATCCCCCCATGGACTTTGTGTCACAACTTCCTCTGGTTTCTCCTTCCCCTGTCACTGGTTTGGTACCCCTGGTGGCCACCCCCCCTACCCCTGGTGGCCAGGCCCCTCTGCCCACCCCTTAGCTCTGCCCCCCACCCCTTCCCCTTCACAAGCTGCCTGCTCCACGGGGTTCATTCTCTTTTTCCCTGGGTTTGTCCTTGGGTGACTGTGTTACCCTGCTGGAATAAATCCTTGCAAGAGAGCCTTTTTTGCCTCTGTCTCTGAGCCAGCTGAGGTGAGGGGTTGAGTGGAGGTTTGGCTGCGTTGCCTGAATGTTAACTCAGCCTGCTTTTCCACAGGAGAGGCTTGCTGGGGATAAAAGACAGGCAGCAACACCCACATTTTTTAGGGCAGGAGTGGAGCTGCAGAGAAACTCTCCTCCTAGAACAGCCCTTGCAGCCCTCTGCCCCTCCAGACAGCTGTACCCTGCAGCTGGGAGACCCACAAGGAGACCCCCGAGGGGTTCTCACTGTTGTAGTGTGCTTTTATACTTCATAATACTTTGTAATAGCTTTGGTTTTGTATCCCCTTATTTTCCCCAAATGATGTACCCCTTTTTGTACCCCCTCCCTCTACCTGTGTAATCATTCTCCTGGGCTGAGATCATCCCCAAATCCCCACCCTGGCTCTCTGTCAGTCACTCAGCATCCCATCCCCTCTATCCAGAACTTTCGGTCCAAATTGTCAAGTGATTAGTCTGAGGCCAGGGGGCAGCCCCCCAAGTATTATTTTATACTTTATCCCAAATGTCCATCCCTAAGGTTTTATTCCTGGAGGGCCTTTATTGGTCAACAATTGTATCTACCTTCAGTTTCCTTCCCCCCTTTAAATGTAACCTTGAGATTCCTTTGGTTTTACTCTGGGCAAGGCGCACCACTGAGGTGTGGGGCACCCTGAGGAGCTCCCAATAAACCTTGGACTGGCCCCTGCTGAGAGTCACCTTTTACCCTCTACCGATGTCTCCAGTGTCTCTTCTGCTGCAAAGGTGACTGGCCTAGCTGCCCTCAGCACCCTCGGGGCACCAGAGAGTGTCCCACCACTGTGGGGGCTGCCCCTCTGTTTTCTGCTGACCCAGGGCTGTCTGGGGTTCTTGAGAGGCTCCCAGAGAGATGGAGACAGCCCCCCAATGTGGGGCTCTGAGATCAGATCCCATGGGCGAGGCTGCCCCCCTGTTTTCTGCCGACTCAGGGCTGGCCGGGGTCCTTGAGAGCCTCCCAGAGAGATAGAGACAGCTTGGTGCCCAACGTGGGGCTCTGAGACCATCTCCAGATCCCACGGACGGGGCTGCCCCTCTGTTATCCGCTGACCCAGGGCTGGCCAGGGTTCTTGAGAGGCTCCCAGACAGATGGAGACAGCTTGGTGCCCAATGTGCGGCTCTGAGACCATCTCCAGATCCCACAGATAGGGCTGCCCCCGTATTTTCTGCCAACTTGGGGCTGGTTGGGGCTCCTGAGGGGCTCCCAGAGAGATAGAGACAGCCCCCCAACGTGGGGCTCTGAGATCAGATCCCATGGGCGAGGCTGACCCCCTGTTTTCTGCCAACCTGGGGCTGGCTGTGGCTCCTGAGGGGCTCCCAGAGAGATGGAAGCAGCTTGGCGCCCAACGTGGGGCTCTGAGACCACCTCCAGATCCCACGGATGGGGCTGCCCCCCTGTTTTCTGCTGACCCAGGGCTGGCCGGGGTTCCTGAGGGGCTCCCAGAGAGACAGACACTCACCTCCTCCCACTGGTGGATGTAGCGGATGAGGCGCGAGAGGCGCAGCAGGCGCAGCAGGCTCAGGATCTTGGTGAAGCGCACGATGCGCAGCGCCCGCGCCGTCTTGTAGACATCAGAGTCCACCTGGGTCTCCAGGTCAACGATGAGGAAAATGTAGTCAACGGGGATGGAGGAGATGAAGTCGACCAGGAACCAGCTCTTCAGGTACTTCATTTTGATGGTGTGAGGGTCAAGGATGATCTCCGTGTTGTCCTCCACCACGATGCCTGTCCGGAAGTTCAGCACCAGGTCAGCCAAGAAGAAAGTGTCCGACAGCACGTTGAAAACGATCCAGGGAGGGGTGTTCTCGTCCTTGAAGAAGGTGATGCCCACGGGCAGGATGATCAAATTCCCCACCATCAGGAGCAGCATGATGAGGTCCCAGTAAAACCTGCAGGGGCCAGAGCGGGACAGGCAGGACACAGTCAGACAGCAAACCCAGGATCAAAGTCAGAGTCTGACAGTGCTGAGGTCACACACACACATCACTGACACCCCGCTGCTCGGCTGGGACAGATGTGAGCAGAAGTGGGGTGCAGAAGCCACCCTGTGTGGGAAGGGGGGGTGTGGGAGCTTGGCTGTCTCTCCCTCCACTGCAGGGCAGTGCATGCACACCTCTGCCCCCACCCCAAAGCTACCACGTGCCCCCTGGAGATCTCAGAGAGGATGTGGGCTTTGCTCCCCTGAGGCTCCTTCTCATCCGCTGTCTCCCTGCCACCACCCGAGTTGGCTTAGCAGGATTTGGGATAAGCTTTGCTGGTTATGCAAATGGAGAGCCGAGCTCCTGGGGCAGCAGAAAAGGATCAGGGAGGCTGCGGTGGTGAGCCAGGCAGCAGCCAAGCAAGGAGAGACAAAGCTGGTGGGAAGGTGGGAGGAAGGTCCAACCCTACAGGAGGTGCCAGCATGCACAGGGCAGGGTGAGGGCACTCCTCATCCACCTCCTTCAGCTAGGAGTGGGCAGGCTCAGAGGCTTTGGAGGGAAAGCCACGAGACGCCAGCAGCAGCTGGTTATGTCAGGACAGCCAGCAGCCCTGTTCACGTGCAAATGCCACCAGGTTGTTTTCATTCTTCACACAGACACATCACCACTTTCTCCACCAGCCTTGCGACTCCTGGGGTCCCCGATCAGAGCCTTCATGAGCCCTTGGGAAAGCAGGTCCAGCTTTAGGGGTCCCCAGGCATCCCCTGTTAGTCCCAGCCCTGGCTGTGGGTGCAGGCTCAAATCTCCAAAGGCAATTTCAGGACAGCTCTCAGTGCCCAGTGAATCCAAACTAGCTTTTACAGGTGGCAGAAGCCTGTGGGGATTTCCTACCCACACTCATGGTGGGACATGGATACTGGGATCTCTGCAGCTGGGGAAGGGAAGGGGAAGGGGAAAGGAGAAAGGAGCCTGTGGTGCCGTGAGAGGCTCCTTCAGAGAGAGCACCAGAGCCTGAGGGGAGTAGAGGGAGGCACCCTCTCCTAAGGAGCCATCCCAAGGTCAGGTCTAGAAACCACCCCAGGGCCAGGAGTGACCCCAGGGCTGCAAGGAGCCCACTCCAGGGTCAGGAGCCTCTCCCAAATTAACACCTTCCTGCCAGTGGCCAGGATTTGCTGGGCCAGGCAAGGAAATGAGGCAGAAGGGGCCTGATCCAGCTGAGGAATTGCCTCCTGCACCTCCACTCTGTGCCCTGAGAAGCTGAGCAGGGAAGCTGCCTGTCCCCACAGCTGCCCGAGCCTGCCTGGAGCTCTTGCTTCAGCTTTAGGCTTAAGCTCTTCAGAACAGGCCTTGTCCTTCACTGAGTGTCAGACTGAGCACTCAGGGCCCTGATCTCCACGGCCTTCATGTATCTCCCTAATGTGATAAACACCAGGGTAATCCCCCTGCCTGTCTACCTGCCAGCTCCCTGCACAGCGCTGCTGGCAGAAGCTGCTCCTGCCAAGCTCCAGGCTCACAAACTTTGGGATGCTTTCCCTGAAAAAAGGGCTCCCAGGGCTGGGTGTCAGGCTGGGGTGGACCTGGTGAGAGGCAGGGGCCCGGTGGTGAGGGGAGATGGCCACAGGTGCCAGGGAGCCACGGCGGGTGCTGGCTTGGTTCTCCAGGCTGGGGACATCATCCATGTCACAGCTTGCTGCGGGAGATGCCTGCCTGGCAGCTCCCTTCCCCGTGGAGAAAGCCCACCCTACATGACTCAACATCCCCGTGACACCCAGTTCCTCCCACATCATCCATCCCCGAGCTCCCTCTGTGATCCCGGTGACACCGAGAGCCGGGCCCGGCTCCTCGCTGCGTGACCGGCCCCGCTCCACCCGCGGGGCTCCCAGGGGGATGAAGGCTCCTGAGCACATTAAAAACAGCACAGAGAAGGGCGGGGGGAGCCCTTGCACGCAAAGCCCAGCAACCCCCGCCTCCCGGGGCTGGGGCAGCGGAGCCCCGCGGCTCGGCGGAGCCGGGCTGCCCCGGGCACCGGGAGCACCGGGAGCCCGGGGGAGCTGGGGCAGCACGGAGCCGTCCGTGCGGGAGGGATCATCCCAGACGGGACCGGGCTGGGGCAGCCGCCTCCCCGGGCCGGTGCCGAGCCCCGGCCACCGGCACTTGTTGCCCCCGCGGCGGCGGCGCCGCGCTCAGCACCACGGACAGCGGCGGGGAGCGGCGCCGGGAGCCGGCGCCGCGGCGGGGGTCGCGGGGCCCCGGTCCCACCTGAAGTCGCTGTAGGGATGGATAATCCAGGCGCCCGCCGACTTCACCCGCTGCCGCTCGATCTCCACGGCCCGGTGGCTGCCGAACATGCGCAGCGAGAACTTGTTCACGGCGGGCTGCAGCATCGCCCCGAGCTGCCGCTGCACGAACGTGCCCGCCGCCGCCGCCGCCGCCGCCTCGCCCGCCGCCGCCGCGCCCTTCGCCCGAAGATAGGCGGGGCTACCCCATCGGGACCCCGCCCCTTCTGTCTAGCCCCGCCCCATCCCAGGCAGAGGGGCGAGGCGGGGCGTGGCTTGGAAGACGGTGGGCGGGGCTCCTGGCGGCGATATCAGCATAGGCACCGCCCACAGTTTGACCCCGCCCCTCGGCACGGTCCCGCCGCCGTCGGGAGGGGGAGGTGTGGCTTCGGGGAGGAGGTGGGCGGGGCGATCTGCCCCGGCCCCGCCCCTCGGCCTCGCCCAGCCCGCGCCGCTGGGCCGGAGAAGGGGGCGTGGCTCAAAGAGCGCCGCGCGGGACCGGCCCCGCCCCTCGGGCCTAACCCCGCCCACCGGCCCCACCTGGTGTGACGCAGCTCCGCGCGCCTACGTGCGTGCGTGCGTGAGCGCGTCCGTGCGTGCGCGGCCCCGCGGGCTGGCAGGACCCGGATCGGCGGCGGCAGGAGCTGGAGCGGGGCCCGGGGCCCACGGCCGCCATCACGGATTTCCTGTGGGACAAGCGCACCGGCCTGGCTGCGAGGACGGTGCGTGGCGATGCGGGGCGGCGCGGCGCGGGGCGGGGCGGGTAGGCCGCGGCCGGTGAGGGCGGCGCGGGG